GGGAAGTTTCTATTTGTTTAGCATTTGATACAGTCACTGTTTTTGATGTTTTGTCCACAGTAGGCATCTTTGGGATGGGTAGGGCTTCCTCGGAAAAGTGGTATCAGTTTTGTGAAGGTTCAGTCACAGTGTCTTTGGAGATCAATGCCTAAGACATGACTCTAGGGAGAACAGGGAACTCAAGCCTTGGGGGTGCAGAGGAACTCACTGTTCCTCTCTGCTTCTGGTCACATGGCAATGACCAGGCACATGCTTTGTTCTGTGGGCACCTCCCTAGGACACCCTTCCCCACTGGGTCCATCTGCCTGCGGTTGGCTAATCTCCTGGTTGGTGGCCAGCGTGGTTGTAATGTGCCCAGCCTGCTGCTGGAACTGTATGTCTGTTTCTGGCCCCTGTCTGGGTGTACTGGGCTTATGAAACCTTTTTTTAAAAATAATGTTTATAATGATTTCTCTCTATATACCTGGCTGTCCTGGAGCTCACTATGTAGACCAGGTTGGCCTTGAACTCACAGAGATCCACTTATCTCTACCTCCCCAGAGCTGGTATTAAAGGTGTGTGCCAGCATGCCTAGCCGATTATGAACTCTTTGTTGGATTCTGCAGGTTACTTTTCTCATTTCTCCAAGGCTTATATTTGTGGGGCTTCTGCTTGGAATCCCATGATACAGTTGTGTGATTTCTCTCTCATTCATCTGCCTATTGTCAGCTTATTTTTACTTTTTCAGATTTCTTTCCTGTGGGGTCTCAGAAGCCACAATCACAGATCTTCCCACAGCCCTTTTCTTCCCACACCATGTGCACACACATACACACACAAACATGCACATACCCATACATACACACATATACACAAATATGCACACACATACGCATAAACACACACACATACATACATATACACAAACATGCACACACACACACACCTAAAAAGTTTCCAAGCTGAGCAAGGAGTATCAGGAATAGAAGTCAAAGTCCACTGTGGTGATGTTTGCCTTTAATCTCAGCACTTGGGAGCTGAGTTCAAGACCAGCTTGGTTACTACATAGCAAGTTCCAGAGCAGTCAGGACAACACAGTGAGACCCCATCAAGAAAAAAAGGGGGTGGGAGAGGGAACGTGTCTGTATATGGAAGAGATATCACTTACTAGGCAATGGGTAGTTAGCATTCTGAGCAGCCCCAGATGTGCTGGTGTGAATGCTTTCGAAATCAGTGAACTGAAGACACTACATTGGGAAAATCCCAGAGTGGCTTTTCTCCTTTCCCCAAAGTTTGTATTAGGAAGTTGTTAAGCACCTCACTTGTTCCCAGCTGTATTTATTCTCTCTAAATCTCTTGGTTTCTTGGGAGGCACCAAGGGTATCAAAGGACAGCTTGGATTCCTTGGTTCCCCCTTTACACACATGCATATTGTTTATTAAACTCCATGAACAATCGAAAACCAATGCATCATAATAAGAACACCAGCTTGCTCTGCAAACAGGATGAGGGGTGGGAAGGGTGAATTTTTTTTTTCTCAGATTTTGTTATGCACAAAATACTTGGGGAGCTTGTTAAAGCGTAGGTTCCCATTCAGGTCTGGATTGGAGCTCTAAAACCCCAACTTTTCTAACAAGTTCCCAGGTGATGTCAAAGTTGTTCTTGGGAAATGACAATTAGCTCCAGGTGGCTGTAGGCAGCCCCACCTCTGCCTCTCACCAGCCAGCTAAGCTCTCCCGATGTTATTCTACAGACTGAAGAACTGTGGGTAGGAGGAGGGCCCCAGAGCTTTAGGTTTCAGTTAGTCTTTGTCCCCACCCTTGAAAGAGAGATAGAGAGAGAGAGAGGAAAAAAAAGCACCAGGCAGCATCAGGGACTGACAGCGACTATGAAAATGCAAGCCTTGTAAGCCTAGACCTGTTTCACAGCCTACACTCTGCTAAGAACTGCCAGGAGTTGCAGCTCTCTCCAGCCCCAGTTGTGTTGTGTGTGCTCTCTGGAATCCATCAGACAAATAGCTACAGGCCCCTCTCACTCTTTGTAATTAATAAACAAGTTTCCCCCAGGTTCTTTGAAGTGTGGAGCCTTGGCTTCCCAGGCAAACCCCACTTCCCCTTGCATATCTGTGGAAGATGTCATCTTTTCTGGTCTCTGACCTTGTTTGTCAGTTGTAAAAGAGGGATTGAGAGTCAAGGGATCTGGGCAGGCCAGGACAGAAAATGAACATGTACACAGAGACGCTTAGCGTAGTTCTTGCCAAAGAAAAGATCAGTCAAAATGTTTGAATTTGTTCTTATTTCTAGAAAGAATCAGATTTGTGTGTGCGTTTGTGCATTTGTGTGTGTATATGTTAGTGGTGAGTAGATTGCCCTCCGGGCACCATGATGCATGAATTCTAGGTCAAGGATGAGGGGATAGAGAGATCTTAGCATGTCAGCCATGAGGGCTTCAGTTCAAATCCCCAGCACTGCACCAAAAAGCTATGCGTAGCCACACTCACCAGTGCTGGGTGGTGGTGGGAGCTCCAACAGGTGGATCACTGGGTCTTGATTGTCTACACATCATCCTCAGGCCTCTGCATTCATGCACATTATGCACAGCCACACATGTGTACACACACAAAGGGGATTTTCTTAAGTAGTAAATAATTCTACACATATAGACAACAGTTAAGGAGAGGGCTGGAGGCAGCATCTCTGCAGAAGTAATAAAATGGGATGGGGAGTATGCAGGGCAGGGCTTAGATAAGTCTTGAAGAGCAGGCGTTGGATGGGGTGTGGGAACATCATTCAACCTTACAACACTGAGAACACAGTAAGCCCCGCAGGGCTGTGTGGGCATCAGGGTCTGACTCAACAGATCTGGATGGCTGAGAGAGATACCTGGGACTTTTGGTTGTGTAGGGGTGAGAAAGGCCTCAGCAACCCGCCAGGTTTCTGCAGTGAGAGGGAGACTGAGGGGTGATGCCATGGGGTGCAGAGAAGGCAAAATGTTCCATCCCGGATGCATCAGATGGAGATAAGGATGGCGCTACTAAAGACACCCTTGTGTCTCACCATTCACGAGGGGATGGATTGGGTGTCTTCATGGGTGGCATTTCCGTGCTTTCTAGGTGTCTCTTAAAAGGCCTACCTTACAAATCATTGCTTATCGCTATGTTGCCATCTGCTCCACCAATTAAGTGTCATAATGCCTATTTGAGAGGCAGGTTTTTTATTTTTTTTCCCCACCTGGTGTGAAGGGTGACATTTGTGGTCCTGATGGGCCCTCCCATTTGAATAGTAGTGATTTCTACCTTTGTTTGTGAAGATACCATTTCTGCCCAGTATTTATACTATTTGCCCTCTATTTCCTTTGGGGGAGTGAAGGCTGGGGTGGTATTTCCATTAACCAAGTTGGCATGTTTGTTTTTTTTTTTTTCATCAGATATCATTGATAGGAAAATCAAGTTTCTAACACAGAAAAGAGACTTGGCCAATCCCAGGCTTACTCAGTGACTTGACACAAGCTGAAGTCATCTGATGCCTCTATTCGATCCAGGCTATAGGTAAACCTCTAGGGCATTTTCTGAATTAGGGATTGATGGGTGAGGGCCCAGCCTCTTGTGGGTGGTGCTATGCCTGGGCTAGTGGTCCTCGGTCTCTAAGAAAGCAGGCTGAGCAAGCCAGGGGAAGAAAGCCAGTAAGCAGCACTCCTTCAGGGCCTTGATATCAGCTCCAACCTCCCGTTTTTTGTTTTGCTTTGTTTTGTCTTTTTCTCTGTTGGAGTTCTGTCCTGACTTCTTTTGATGATGAACAATGATGCGGAAGCGGAAGCCAAACAAACCCTTTCTTCTCTAAGTTTCTTTGGTCATGGCGTTTCATCACAGCAATAGAAACCCTAACTAAGGCACTCAGTAAAATCTCGAAGTTCTTCCTTTATAGACCCAGGTCAGGTGGTTGCCTAGATCAGTCTTGTCTGGAGGCCCGCACTGGCTGCAAGTGAGCAGCTCTGTCCAGAGTTCTGGTTGGGGATAAGCGGGTAGTGGGAGTCTTGCTTGGAAGCCCTGATTGGCCTTGAAGCTGCAGCAGTGCTCCGGCTTCCGCTTCTTGAATGCTGGGAGTGAACCACCATACCAGGTGCAAGTTAGTTATTTCAAACATTTATTTTTATTTATTTGTCTGCGAGTGTTCGCCAAGTGTGTGTGTGTGTGTGTGTGTGTGTGTGTGTGTGTGTGTGTGTGCCCGCCCTCAAATGCCAGAAGAGAATGTCAAAGTTATGGGTGGTTGGAGGCATCTTATGTTGGTGCTGAGAACCAACCTCAGTGAGCCCTTCTTCCTCATTCCTTTCAGGCTATTTTAAAGAGCCAACTTTTTATTGCTAGAATTTTAGTACTCGGGAGCCTGAGGCAGGAAGAATGATTCATGTTCAAGGCCAGTTTATAGCTTACACAAGAGTGCGACTGTCTCAAATGAGTAAATACTAACCATCCCCCAAACTGCTGAGCATAGTGGCTTGTCTATAAATTTCAACTTTTGGGAGGTGGAGGCAGGAAGATTTGTGAGTTCAAAGTTACCCTCAGATACATGACCAGTTTGAGACCAGCATGACCTACACCAGAATTTGTCTCAAAACAAAGAACTGGTAGAGAGATGTCATCCTAGCTTCTTGGAAGGCCGTGCTGTGTCAAAACCTTGCCTGCTGTACAGAAAGAGCTCAAGTCCAGCCTAGGCAACTTAGTAAAACCCTGCATCCTAAAACAGGAACAACAAACGACAAATGGGTGCCTGAAGAAGTTGAAAACAACAGGACCAGTCCCTGGCTCTAGGAGAGACCTCTGACACCCCAACAGGATTACTCATAGCCCGTACCCCACCAGCGGGCGGCGCGCACGCGCTGTGGGCGGAGTGCATGGTGAACCCAGAGCCGCGTCGGACGTGCGCGCGCTCGCGCCCTATAGTGGCGAGGCCGCGCACGCCCGGGGCTCCCGGAGGCGGGCGGGTACCCCAAGGCCATTTCCGGGAGGGGCGGGGCCGGCGGCGCCGCGCCTCCAATCTCGGCGGCGGCGGCGGAAAGGGGAACCCGGGTCCCGGACGGGCGGCTCAGTCGCTTGCAGGGCAGAGGTGCGTGAGGTGGGCAGCGGGGAGCTGAGCGGCTGCGGGCAAGAAGGCGCGGGTCCTCGGCTTGAGGAGGTGGAGCCGCTGTGGCGGGAGGGATGGGGCTGGGGCTGAGGGGAGCCCGGCGGAGCTGACGGGGGTCAGGGCTGGGCTGAGGGGAGCGGAGGGAGGCCGAGCTGAGAAGAGGGGCCCCGAGCGGGAGCGGGGTTGAGGGGTGGTGGGCCCCAGGCTGAGGGGGGACGGGGACGAGGGAAGCGGGTCCCGGGCTGAGGCGGAGCCGGGCTGAGGGGAGCGGGTCCCGGGCTGAGGGCGAGTTGGGGTGAGGGGAGCAGGGCCCAGGCTGGGCTGAGGGGAACAGGTCCTAGACTGAGGAAGAGGAGGGCTGAGGGGGGAGCTGAGCTGAGGGGAGGGGCCCTGGGCAGAGAGAGAGAGCTGGATGAGGGGAGCCGACCAGGGCTCAATCGTGGCGCCGAGGTTCGCTGTCAGCAGTTGAGCGGGAGGCAGATCTGGCAGGAGTAGCTCAGGTCTGTCTGGTGGGGAGGCAGTAGAGCCATGGCCCTGGGGATGGTGCGGTCTGGGGTGTCCCAACCCGGGGAAGGGGCGTGTTCCCCGAGTGAACTCCACTGAGTTCTTTTCTTCTCGGTTCTGAGGTTCTGGTTCGGCCAGAGTGCTGATAATCCCGGCAATGAAATCCCCAGCCTTCCAAGGAGCCAGGCAGGCAGCTGATCCAGCAAAGTGGTGACTCCTTCAAGTCTTAGAGTAAACAGACGTGTTTCCATTTTTCAGACGCTGAAAAAGAGGGGGCCTGAAAACACTTGTGCAGGGGAAGATGCCCAGCACCGACCTTCTAAAGTTGGTGAGTCCGTCCAAGGAGGACCGTCATCCGTTAACTCTTAGTCAGAAGGATCTAAAATCATGTGGCCATTTCCTCCTCTGATGTTCGCTTTTGATAAAAGCTGAGCATTCTCTGCTACTTTTTTTTTTAAACGGGAGTTTATGATCAGGGTGAATAAATTGATGAATGCTGTATATGTAGAACTTAGAAATTCTTGGAGAATGTTTTACAGAGTCATTGCAGATGGCTTTCAACTGCTCCTGTTCTTACTACTAGAGCAATTGCTTTTGTTTTTGTTTCAGAAATAATGTCTGCCTGTGTAACTCATTGTGGCCTGGAAATCAGCATATATACTTGGCCTTGAACAAGCAGTAATTTTCCTCCCTTTCCCTGTTAGGGCTGGGGTTTTTGTTTGCTTTGTTTTGTGTTTGTTTGGTTTTTGGAGACAGGGTCTCCTTATATAGTCCTAGCTGGCCTGAAATTTCAAGAGATTTGTCTGCCTCTGTCTCCTGAGTGTTGGGATTAAACAAAGGCCTGTTTTGTTTATTTTTGAGGCAGAAGCTCTCAGTATAGCCTAGAATGGCCTTGAACTAGGAATCCTCCTTCAGCCTCCTAAGCGCACCATCATGCTGGGCTCTTCCTGAGACAGCATATCTATCACTAAGTAGACAAAGATGTCTGTGAACTTCTGATATAGCTGGAGCAGACCTTGAACTCTGTATAGTTCAGATGAGAGACAGGAATACTTGCTTTGTCTTTAGAGCCTAATGAAAAGTTCACTGAAAATAGATTCTTGTCCCAAATTTCATGAGTTTTCAGTAGGTAAAAAATAGCCGTATTAATTTCAAATTTTCATTACAAGAGAATAATATTTAGAAACGTTGGAAACTAAATAAAAGGAATCCATTCTCTCCATTCCCCTTCACCTCCTTTCATCAATGTGTACTAAGAGACAATTGCTGTTGGCATATTGGATGGTTAATGGAGAACGACTCCTGACAATGGACAGTTTCTGGCTTTCCTCTAATATATCTGGATGTGCATGTAAATGACAAATACAGAAGTAGAATATTTCTTTGTGTAAGGACTTGTGCTTATTTGGGGGAGGGGTGCTAATGAACTTTTAAGTCTGAGCAGGGCTTGCTTGCATTTATTCAGTGTATTTGGAATTATTTTTATTCTGAGTTATTTCTCTAGCTGTCGTCATACCTGCCAATGACTTCCTGGTACTCTAGAATGGAAATTTTGTTCAGCTTATTGCAGTAGGGGATTAACAGATATGAATGATTCTTGACAAGTCATTTTCTGAAGATAATGTAGAGGTTGCATAAAGTGCTTTCACTAAAAAGACTGTTATCTTTTTTCTTAACCTTAGTGTGTTGATACCTGGGGCTGAAAGGTTAAACAAAACAAAACAAAAAACAGAGTTAGGTTTTCAGTGGGTTACTACATTTTTATTATAATCTGAGTTCAAGGCTCTTGTTCTCCTTTTTACAATATATAAAGCTGATGCATCAACTGGGAAGAAAGGGTCTAAGAAAGTTTAAAAAAACAGAGAGAGAGAAAAGCAAAGCAAAACAAAACCTCAGTACAGGAAAATGTCTCATAATCTTAAAAAAAAAAAAAGAAAGTGTGTGTGTGTGTGTGTGTGTGTGTTCACGTGTATATCGACTTCAGGGTCTTAAATGCTAGGCAAGTGTTCTACTTAAATCCTCATCAATTCTTTTAGTTTTTTTATTTTGAAACAAGGTTTTACTGTGTCAGGCAGGCTTTAAACTTCGAATCCTCCTGCTCAACAAGTGTTGGTTAAAATCAATCTTAAAGTAATTTGGTGAGCTTAATATTGTACGTGAATCCAGATAGTCATCCCGTATGCTAGCAGAATAAGATAAACAGTAGGTAGGAAATCAGTATAAGGCGGATTCTGGAATAATAGTATAGTTCTCACAACTCAGGTCAAGAATGTATTAGATGCAGAAAGAGATATTCTGTATACTTACTAAAATTTTACTAAAAACTCTGAAAAATATGCTGACATCTTCCTTTAATAAATGAAAAACTAGACTCTATTGAGTTCCACAGCAGTTAAGTAGTAGAGTTGTTTTACCTCAAGTGGAATGATTTCAGAAGATCCCTCCCTTTCACCTTTGTATATTGCCTTTGAAACAAACCTTGGAGAGATAGAGGTTTGAGATAGAGATAGAGGCTGTTGATTACTGACAGTGGAGAATTTGGGAAGAACAGAAATTGAAGTTATTTGGGTGGGGCATTTTGGAAATACATGTGGGAAAAAGATTCTTGTCTCCTGCCTTAAAGGCCCTGATGTATTATAAAATCATGTTTGTTTTCCTTAATAGTGCAGTTACGGTATTGAAATTTTGAGCTTTGTGCCTATATGTATAGTGTTAAAATGTTTGAAGGGCCGTTAGAAAGTGTTTATTGTAAAGGGGGTATTGAGTGATAGGGCCGAAAACTACTCTGTGAACAGCATGTTGGAGAGAAAATGTGACGATCACCTAGAATCCATATGTAACCAAGGAGCTTGAGCTCTGGGTGTTCCTGCTGGAAGTTTTGTCTAATTAGGGTGGTTTACTTGTCTTTTTTCCCATTTAGTCACATGTGACATGTCATGGGATGGTAACACTTTCCATCTATGTCTCAGGGAGAATAAATGAGCATGTTCCTCTGCAGAGGATATCTCAAGAGGGAATTCAAGTTAGGCAATTTGTAGCAACCTTTCTTCACTCTGGCAACATTTTCATCCATATTCTGCGCAGTTGTACCTAATGATATCACTTTGCAGGTTGTCAAACATTTATAGTTTTAAAGGAAAGTTTACTTAAAAGCAAATATGGTATCTTTTGAGAAGTAAGTTTATGATATTCTAGGTAAAACAGGCTTACCTTACTTTGATAGTAATTGTTTATTTAGGTAAGTTCTTAACCTATGCAGTTTTGCTTCTGAGGGACTTTTGACGACCTTGGGAAACATTTCTTGGCTACTAGCATCTACTAGATAAAAGCCAGGAATAAAATCAAGTATCCAGTAATGACCATGACCTTCCAATTAAGGGATATATTGTAGAATGTCTGCAATCCCAAGATTGAGAACCCCAGTTGGAAGTCTTTAATATGGCTGACTGCTTATTTTCAGGCTTTATTTTCCTGTGAGTAGGGGAATTAGCCTCTTGCAATATTACTTAGGTTATTTTGCCCATGACTCAAGTCCTGGTATCTTGGGATATATCTGGATGAACCTATAGTATGATCATCTGCAGGAACAAAATCCTGAAGAAATTAATGGCTTTCCTCATCAACATTTCTGCAACATCCTTTGAAGTAAAGCCACCTTCAGTTTTTATTTTTGGCTTAAAAAAAATCTTGGGGCTGGAGAGATGACTCGGTAGTTAAGAGTATTGGCTACTCCTTCAGAAGACCCAGGGTTTGATTCCTATATGGTGGCTAACAAGTATGCTTTCAGTTCTAGCAGATTTGGTGTCTTCTGGGCTCTTCTGCACTAGGCATGCAAGTAGTGCATAGATATACATGCAGGCAAAATTCCCATCATATTAAAAAAAAATCAAATCTTTTTAGGTCTTTGTACTTGATCCATGATCTTTGACTCTTAAAGTTTTTTTTTTTAATATTTTGCATTTTTATTTTATGTGTAAAATATGTGCATTTCATTTTATGTGATGTTTTGATTGTAATAATGTCTATGTACTATATCTGTGTACTGCCACAGAGGCCAGAAGAAGGCATTAGGTCCTCCATAACTGGAATTATAGACAGCTGTGAGCCATCACGTGGGTATTAATAATTAGCCCTGGGTCTCCTGGACAAGCAATCAATCAGTGCTCTTAACCACTGAGCCCTCTCTTCAGCCCTGCCTTTTTGTTTTTTTTTTTTTTAGGAGACTTTCTTTCAGAATCTCAAGTGGAATTTAAGAATAAACTGAGATTGACACTAAAAGTTATTTTCTATTATTTGAACGGGTTTCTTGATTGTAGAATGAATTGGAAGGAAGGGAAATTTCATTTGACTGATAGGACATATAAGATTGTGTGGGCATAGAGATAATTGTAGAGTGGACAATGCATTTGATATTGTTCCAGTCTTACAATGAAGCAGAACTCTTAATAATTTCTCTAGCCTTTAATCTAAAGTAGAGGGGAATTACAAATAGGTGAGCTACAAATCCCAAGTTTGGCTTAGCTTTGCATTCTATGTGCCAGTAATTTTTAGTAACATTTGCCTTTGTAATTAATAAACATCACTCTAATATTACATGTAGTTTGTACACATAGGTGGCAGAATTTAGAACCAGCCTGGGGTTAAGAATTTTCCATGGGGAATTTATTTGCTGTGAATCAGTCTTCATGTATACATACACAGAGCCTAATTACTGATAGAAAAACCCATGCAGTAAATAGAATAGTGACAGCCACAGCGGTACAGTTTATCAGTCATAAGGAACATTCACTCTGTGTGCTTTGAGTGTTTCAGGGACTGTTCACCAAGACAGGGCAAGCTTAAAGAAAACCAGCAGGGAGCATGAGTGGTGATACATACTAGTGAGGTTGGTGGTACATAGTAGGGTTCTCTAGAGGAACAGAGCTGATAGAATGAATCTATATCTGCCTGCCTGCCTGTCTGTCTATCCAGTAGTTGTTTAGTTCATAAGGCTGGATGTTCTCATCTGGCCTTCAGTTACATTGGAATCCCGAAGAAATAGGTTCTAATACCAGTGGCTCAGCAGCAGGATATGTGAACTTGTCAATGAGAAAAAGGGAGAAGCAGGTGAAAAGCAAAAGCTTCTTTCTTCCATGATCTTTATATAGGCTGCTGTAAGAAGGTGTGGCCCAGATTTAGGATGGGTCTTCCAACCTCAAATAATTTGATCAAGAAAAATGCCTCACAGATGTGCACAGATGCTTAGATTTTTAGTTAATTCCAGATGTAGTCAGGTTGACAACTAAGAATAGGCATCTCACTTGTCATCCAAAACTCAAGGGGCAGGAG